GCGGGTTACCTCGCCTACCTGGGGTCCCCCACCTCCATGTAAACAGGCCCTTAATCTGCTCTACCATCTCAGATGACTGACTCCATTTCCCCCATGACCTTCGTGGGGTCGCAAATAATTTAGCACATCAGGAAAAAGTGATATTTTTAGCAGAAATTTCCTATGTCTGAGGCCACGTCGTGTGAAATGTTTTCTCAGTTGAAACATTTTCCCGGCATTGATTTATTCAGAACTTCTTAAGCCTTGAATTGGATTTCACATTCTGGGCCTTCAAACTTCGCAGTGGATTTGATTTTTAGTTTTGACCTCTGCCTTTCAAGCAAATCTTAGATCGAATATACCCTGTTTTCATGTCACAAACTGTTTGTCAATATTATATATTTGAAACTGTTCGTCAATTCTAAGAGCCTTGTTAACTTGAAACATATTAAGGAGTTTGTGATTGGTAATTGTCGTGACGAAAGCGTTACGAATTTGTGACAACTTCCGTCACAAAATACACGTCACGGCCGTAGGACTTCTATTTCCTCGCTCAAACTGGCTGGATGCAGCTCTCTTAAATAGCGACTGATTATATTCAGAGCGCTCAAAAACCACTTTTCTCGCTTTTCTGTCGGACGATTTTCATATAATTGGCATGGGATGCAAATCTGTATTGATATGCAAATGTTACAGAGGGATGCCATTAAAATCTACCTGGGAACAGTCTCGGAAAATTCCAATTTTTTTTAAGGGTTGGGGGAAGTTGCGTGACCTCGCTGTCAAAAATATACAATTTCGGACAGGGCTGCGAATGGAATCAGGAACTGGGAATCGGAGAAGAGGAATTTAAAATGAGAAACAATCTTTTACAATCTCATAAGTTTTCGTTATAATGGTAACGATATGATAATACATGATAATTCTGATAAAGATAATAGATTAATATACAATAATTCTTTATGATTATGTCCTATTGATCGTATGAGTAGCCGTCAAAAAAGGAGTATTTTTTCATTTCTTCGTAAACGCGGTTCTTTTGTTCAGTGGTCCACTCTATTAAGTCACGTGTCATCGATGGGACTGGATCTACAGTGGCTGCGCAGTCCTGTATATAACGCTCTGAGCAAGAGATGATAAGGAATTTGCAGATTTTTCTCAGAGTGTCGGCAGGGTTCTTGACAATTTCTAGACTTGGAATGTCGATAACACTGCCTGGAAACGCTTGCCTGGCCTTGTTACAACCTCCTGCCCAGCCGAAATAACGACTTATACTCTCGTCCAATATATAAGAAGCTTTAACCTGTGGATAACAGATAGAGATACAGCGTGTAAACCATCAGTTCATGGTTATAATAGGGTTATAGCTACTTAAGGACCGTTTCCCATGTTTATTACATCCATTTGAAAACCACTGTTGATCCTTGAGATCTGATTGGCTCTCGCCGGTGCGATTTATTCTTAAATCATATTACTCTAATGCTATCTCATGTTTTTCCCAGCCAATGAGAAAGAAACACTTAATCAAAACAACCAATTAGATTTCGAGGCTTATTTAAGTAACCAATCAAAGCACAGGAAAATGCAAAACCAAGAAGTCATTACGTGGCAAATTTAGCAACTTTTGTCCCAAATACTCTTTTTTCACATAATGAGCTCATTATTTTTATCACGTGGGCAGGGGCGAGAGTGGTAGAAGTTTTCATGGGGAACGGAGATGGGGATTTGTCGTCTCTGACAGAGTATAAAGGGGAAGGGAAGGGGGAACATGGAAAACTGACTTCCAGGGAGGGGAGGGGAGGGGAGATCGTCAGAATGCTATATCCCGGAAAATTTAATCGGGATACAGCGAAAGATAGTGACCGACCCCTGAAGCTTTGTATCTTGACATATCGCGTTTAGTTATGAAATACATCGCACATACCTTCGTTTCATGTTTTCCCACTTCCCTTTTTTTGACTCTAGCATCTTGCAGAACCATGGTTGCAATATTGTCGAATGGATTTCGCACAACATGAACAAACTTCACCTTTGCGCCGGCGGCTTTCTCTAGGAGTCGAACTGCATCCACGGCTTTGTCTTTCCTCATTGCTCCCGCCGTAAACGCACCTGACTTGTCTCCGATCACCTGAATCAAAATTTTAGGGATGGTTCGTAATACGATTACTGTCAGGGCAACTACTTTTCTCTATCGGTATATCAAATAATGCTGTTGAAACAAACCGAGGGGCCAGTCCCTAACAACTGGTGGTCAACAGTAAATTTGGTTTCGCTTAACTACACCCAACCATTGGTTGAAAAAAGCCTTACAAAAAAAGACCCCCTGTATGTCTCCGATACGGGGCAGATGTACTAACCATTAAGTTACCGTCTTTGCGCATTCAATTTCTTAAAACGAACCAACAAACAAATGAACATAAAAAAAAATTCCATTCAGCTGACCTTGATATACTGATCATACTGGCCTTGCCATTGATTTGGTACATAGTACGAATATGGAGAAGTCACATTCACTACTCTTCCTTCAAATACACGCGAGCGTCTACCGTGGGCAACTGCGCTCTGCGAAGCTCCAAATAACGTATCATAAAAAGCGTATATCGAACCATTTAGCCACGTTTGGAGACCTCCTATCCATCTTGGAAAAGCCATTGCCTCATCGGAAACCACCATGTGTGGATGTGCATCCAATAAGGAGCCAAGAAGACTGTGACGACTACGCGGATATCCAATAAAAAACAAGATACTGTGTACGTGACCATAAGCTTTGTACAAGTCGTTCTGTGAATCTGTGCCATCTGAGAAAGACCGATGAACAAAAAAGACGTTAACAAAAGAGCAAAAAGCTGGGTTTGACTCTTAAGGTTGCGAAGGACACCACATTGAACGAAAATTACATCAAATCTCACAGCAATACATTATTTTTAAAGGTTCAAAGACATGATCAGAGAGTACTTCACGAAGCGCAAAGCGATGGAAACATCTCTCATCGGTAGAGTAAGGTTAGTTGTTAAGTTGTTGGTTGTTGAACATTTGTCAAGACCGTGGAACATTCTGTACAATAATGAAGGTTTTCATAGCTTGCGCTGGCATAAAGTCTGACATATTTTGAGAAAACAAGCATAGTTTTTCCTATTTGTAAAAAAGTAGCACTGCTATATCATCCAAAATTTAAGTATATGTACCATCATCTGTAGTTGTTCTTTCGTTTTCTCTTGGTCCAGTGCGAAGTAGATCCTTTGGTTCGCTGTTTTCAGCTTGTGTCAGCAACGGTGCAGAATCAACCCCGCTATCTCCCCCTTGATTTGAATGGAAGACAAGAATGTAGACAAGGGTGAAGAGAAAACCTCTTCTGTTGAAAGATGTGGTCATGATCCTGATAAAAGTGTCGTGTGGTATGACGATCCGTCAAGATCAAAATGTCACCGCAAATTTTACTCTGGGAGGGTGAAATACTCAACCAGAAAGTGAATTTTAAAAAAGTAAGCATACAGCTCAATGTAATTCAAGATAAGCCTGGAATACAAATGGATGAAAGCTTAATGAAAAATTGATACAGAAAGGGCTCCAGACTTTCTTCTTCTTTTGAGTAACTACATACCATGTTATGACGAGAAGCAAGCAAAACATTTACCTCGACTAATATTTGTGATATTTGTTTATTTGCCAAATTTTTCTGTTTCTTTGAGTTATGTTGTTTGTTTTTTTGTTTGTTCAATGCGAACGTTATGATACATCCGGCAAACAAATAACTCACCGTAGTCCTCGATAATCAGCTTTTCTTTGATGTAGAAAGCATCATCTCTCCATGTCACAAAAAGCACGGCGAGTCCAAAGCCAAAAAATAAACCAAAAATCACTCCTCTAAATCTGGCTAACAGCCTTCGGATCATTATACTGCCTCAGTCTCTAATTTCTGTGACTGAAAAACAATGCATTACACTGTAAACTATGCCAATAAAAAAATCCTTGCTCGAAAAAACCCCTCTCCCCGACGAAGGGCTAACCCTTGAACCATCAGCTTTCGAAACTCTTTACGGTGGCCAATCGACATTATCAACCCAGCTGATAAAACCAAATTGTCTTGTGACAGCCCCCACCGACGCAGCACCATAGTTTCTTTAGAAACTAACCCCCTTTATCCAGATGATATATATTGGTATATACTAAAATAGTAGATAGCTTAGAAGGCGTATGGGCGGCCGTCACCACCAAAAATACAAGAATGTCAAATAGATCAGCAAATACAAAGCTGGTCTAAGGATCAGCGACTACACCATCACATGGTGTAGTCGCTGTGTTGATGGTGAGAAAACTGACATCCTCGATCTGTTTTGACATTTTTCAATCAAAGTGATATCGAAATGCTTTAACTGCAAACACTATTTTTGGCACACCAATTAATGCATTTCGATATCACTTTGATTGAAAAATGTCAAAACTGATATTCTGATCTGTTTTGAAAAGATGAATTAACAATATATATCTATCGTCGATCACATTCTTCCAGGAAAAAAACTTTTTTTCCTTTTTCCATATGATTATTCATGCACTTAAGATACAAGATTTTCCAGTGGGTGATAACATATTTACAGTTTTTTGCATTTTTTACCTTGCATTAAAATTCTACAGCAATTTCAAACGTTCTTGTTAATAAAAGAAATTTTTAATGACGCAACGTGTACATGTGAAAAAAAAGAAGTCGCTATTTAAGTTCCCTCAATCGGGGATTGAGGTGGAATCATCGATCACAGATAGCTGTTAAATTAGA